TGGCCATTCCTCAAAATGTCAACAACTTGTATGCTATGAAAAAGGCAGTTTATGCTATTTTATTTCATTTTACAAATTTTGAAAACAAGCAAATGCAACATCAGATTTACCCAAGAGGACTGACAAGTTGGTGCAAATATTGGGCTCTAAATAATAAAAATTACAAATTAAAATTATGTATACCTATCTGGATTAATAATCTTATTTTACTAATCATCAAGGATCTTCAGGCTGACGATCTTTTAATGTTTGCATGGAACAATACAAAATGCCAATAAAGCATTAAATTAAAATATATAGTCTCGCGTAACAAAACACGCATTTGTTGTAAGTCTACAATTAAAATGGGAACATACTCAGCAGTGCTGCATTGTAATGATGGTGTTAATGGTGTATTAGAAGTTTTAAAATACTTTGGCTTGAATGGAATTGTTACATTAGCTTTGTCAAGTAAAGTTGACAAAACCAGAATTCAGCATATGAAATCAAAGTCAATGGATAAAAGTAAAATCCAGAGAAAAAAACAAAGAGAAGTTAAAAAAAGGTTTCATAAACAATCAGCAAGTAAAAGAAACAACTGATAGTTACATCCGTGGTGGAGTTTGATAATTTTTATGTTCTTATTATATATTTTTTTCTTATTTTTGCTTTTTTTCTCAATATGTATTTTTTTAAACTTTGAAACACATTTTCTCATTAACAAAACAGAATTACATAATAAAATTTTTAGGATTTGTTTATCATAATGTACTTCGTTTAACCCTCAGAGTTTTTATGAAAATCTATAGAAAGTTATATATTGATGTTTAAAATGCTGGATTTATTGATATTTCATATATATATTAGGTGATTTTCTTAAAAATGCAATATTTCATGAAATAATTCAAATCACAAAAAATCCCACGGTCAAGCAGGGTGAAATATGATTAGGAAGCTATGTTCAAAATTTTATGAGGCAAAATCAAGTTATCAGGTTTGGAAGATTTACTAAAAACATGTGTTTTACAACACATTTTCGGCCATTATAAATAATAACATTATAAAAAAAATTTAGCTGCTTTTTATTTTATTTTATTATAAATTTATTCTCATAAAAATAAAAAAATTAAAATTTTGATTATTTAAAAAAAACTTGTTTTCAGTTGTGTGCCACCTTAATGGAACTGTAACAACAACAACCAGAATTTAAACATTGTTATTAGCTCTCAACTCTCCTAACGTTTTACTACCAATTTTAATAAAGAGAAATAGTTATTATTTTAAATTCAAGAAACAAAAAAAATATTAACAAAATTAAAAAAAATAATCAATTGCTATTAAGCTAAATAACATTTAGTTTGCTATTAACTTTTATGACTGCACTGGTCAATTTAAAAAATGTTTTTTTAAAAAGAAGTATTTAAACTAATACTTAATTTTTAATTTGTTAAAAACTAAATATTGATTAAAATAATTCAATAAGTACAATAAAGTTAGTTCATTATTTAAATGATCTTTTTGTGTTAGATTTTAATATAACTTTTCTTTCGTTTATCTTTTTAAAAAACGTAACCTTGTTTGTGTTTTCCTTTAGCTCAATATTACTAAATTTTTACAAATGCTTATCAAGAAGTAATAAATATGCCAACAAATAATTGTTATTAACAACTTAAGGAGTATAAACAATCTGATAAGTTACTCTACTGCTCACGGATTGAATAAAATAAGTTTAATAAACAACGGATTGTATCTAATCCTTTAATGCAGTTCTTTTTATGTCACGTCGAAAATAGAATTAAATTATTTTAAGATTTAAAGATAAAAAAAAAATAGCAAAATAAACACCCCGACAACATTTACTCCTTAAATATTTTACTTTCTAAGTGAAATCTTAATTAAAATGGTTTTGCAGTCATTTATTAAAATGCCGAATAATTTAAATTAGTAAATAGGAAAAGCAAACATAAAAGGTTTAATGACGTCACGTTAGGGATCGTCCATAAAGTACGTACGCTCGGAGAGGAAAAAGAGGTCTGCAAATGGCGTTTCTGAGATAAAGGGGTAGTAAGTCAATTATAAAAGTATGGAGACACTAAATTAAAAAAAATATCATAAAATGTTGGGTTAGTAGGTTGAAAGCGTAGGTACTTTTAGGGAGGTAGAGAGTACTCAAAAAAGCGTACGGCAAACAGGGGGAGAAGAGTGTTGGCGAAAAAAATTTATGGACGGCCCCTTAAGCGTAGAAGCTGTGCAAGTTTTATTCATTGCAAGGCCTATAGGGTTCTAACATTTTAGTGTCCTTTTTTCCTGTGTGAATAATAGATGAATTTTGGTTTGAAAGTAACTAAAAAATTATTGATTTTATTTTTTTTTTAAAAAGTCACCCTGCATCATCCTACGCTGTATACCTAAATCAGTGAAATTTTCAAAATGTAAGTTGTGAAGAAAGTAAATTTTGAGAAAGGTTCAAAATTTATGTAGTCGTAATTTATGTTAGATTTTGAACGCTAAAAGATTATTG